GTGTGTGTGTGTGTGTGTGTGTGTGTGTGTGTGAGTGTATGTGTGCATGCGCGAATGCATGCATACGTGTCCGAGTGCACGTGTAGTAAAACACCAAACTTATGTCCCAGGACCTGGATAAAAACGATTTATCTAATATGTTATCTTATGATAGGTACTGGTTTCTGTCAATCCATATTCGATATAATATGATAGAGGTATGAAGAACGGACCATTGTAGCTTGAAGCGGTTGAACATTGTTCAAACTTACTCCTTGACATAACTGGCAACTGTGACCCTAAGTGATGTCGCTATTTGTCGGCGCTTTTGTTACGAGGTCGTTCTCCTTTTGTAATACTAATACTAAATATTTGTTGGGTTTTTTTCACAATGGCTAAGGTCGACGTTTCTATACTGCCTCAGCGGTATCATTGCTTTAACACTTCATCCTTAATAAGTTTACGATTTTCCTCTTTTTCCTCCTCCGCTGCCTTTTCCGCTTCCTCCTCCTCGTCCCCCTCCTCCTCCTCGTCTTCGTCCTCCTCATCGCCCTACTCCTCCTCCAGTGACATTTTTTTTTAAAATTAGGTCCCAACTCTTTTATACGCCACAGTTTCTTTACCTTTCCACATTCGTTTTATCGGCAAATCGTCTCTTGCCTCGAGGCATAGATTTCGCCGAGACATTCGTGGTGCATAGTCCCCAGTGTATTTGTTTCGGCCAACGTCAATGTTTTGCTCCTTTCCCACGGTCTACAGTTTCTTCTCTTTGTCATTTCGTAATGACATCATTCCTATCATAGCTGATCTTTCTTCATAGACTGCCCCTCCTCCTTTTTAATGAAGGCGATCAGTCATAGCCTGGCACATCCCTGAATCATACTGGCTTGACCGAGTTCTATGGCACAGCTTTGATTTGTGTTTATTTTACTTTTTTCTTTTTTTTTTCTTTCTTTCTTTTTTCTTGGGGGGTGGATCAGTGTTCACATCAGACCTTATCTCTTCCTCAGTAATAGTAAGACTAAGCGGAAGACGAGAGGCTGAAAATTATTGCTTAGATTATCGAAAGAGGTCGTCATAGAATTGGCTAACCCCCCCCCCCCCCCCCCCAGTTCTAACCTATAAGTCATGCCATAGGTCACCCTACCTAGAAACAACAACTTACATCTATAGATTAGTTAGACATGACATTCGCATGCCATTACAAGGGCGGTTAGGATAGCACTTGAAAGGTATTATGTTTTGACCACTGTCACGGTTTGTCAACCGGACAGCGACCCCCTCCCCCCCCCCCCCCCCGGCCCTTAAGTTCCCCTGGGTAAGACAGATTTGTTCTGGATTCCTTGGAAATGTTTGACTGAGCTCACCCTTGGTTTTTATTTCTGATATCCATTCCCGTTTTAAATCCTTATTACCCGAGTCTTGAACGTTCCAAGTGAGTATTTTTTTTTTTACCACGGTAATCCAAACATGATATCAAAACAACTTCAGGCTCAAAATATTACAACCTGAGGTTTTAACAGAATTCCTGTCATGTATTACGACAAAGGACTCGAAAATAAATAGATTAAGGCTCGTTTCACCCAACATAACAAAATCTTCTTCTTCTTCTATCCCGTGGTTGGGGCAACCGTGGGGGCACCACTGCATCTGAAAACCAGCTCTCGCCATCTATTTACTATTTTGTCCTCTGCTTTCCTCAGATTGTCACCTATCGTCTTTCTTGTCCACTCTGTAATGTTGTCCTCCAATCTCCTTCTCTGCCTTCCTCTCTTTCTCTTTCCTTGTACAGTTCCTTGCAGGATTGTTTTGGCAATCCTGTGGATCTTGCGATATGCCCATACAATTTTAATTTTTGTCTCTTCACTGTTGTCAGTAGATCTTCAAGCTGCCCCACTACGTTGGTGATTCTCTTTCGTACCTCAGCGTTTGAAAAAAATCAGTCTGATTCAAAAACATGAAAGAAAGCAAGAGAACATTTATTTCATATTTAGGAAAATAACTATTTATTTATTCTCGAATTGTTCAGAGATCAAAATGTTAAGGAGCACAAAGGGCATTCTTTCTTTGCCTTTTTGGAAATAAGAATCAGGTTTGAATATTTAGTGATATTCAAATCAGTGTCACCACTTGCCTCTCTCCTCATCGCTTGTCCTACTAGAAATGTAATATGTCCCTTCCCTCCTTGTAATACTGTCCTGTTAAAGCGTACTGTCGATTGATTTAAGCTATGCCTATCTTTGCTTCTGAACTCCACTCCTCTAACCGCTCTATCAGATGGCTGTTCCCATGACTCCCCTTGTATAGCTATCACTATTACAAACAACCGATTTTTTTTCTATTATATACGCTTCCAGTCTATAAAAAACAGTAGCAATCACCTAGCCGTGAAATAAGAAACTAACACCATATTTGACTTTCGGTCGCCAACTAAAGTCACCTCAGTTACCTGTATATTCCTAAGGTAATCCGAATCTATCATTCCCTCTTACTTTACTTTGTTGTCCACTGTTCAAATTACGAATGTCAACCTTTCTTCCACTTTAAAAAAAATAAGAGTTTTTCCTCTCTATAATTTTGAAAGCAGCTTTTAAAAAAAAGCCTGTGTCTTTTACTATTTCTGGAAGAAGACTATCAACAACTTTTCAGCCGTTACTTCGACATATTTACCTCGTTACCCATGACCACCTACCATGTACCCAGTGCACACTGCCACTCGAATTCAGTCAAACTGATTAGGGTCCAGCTACATTCTCTTCCACAGAGGGATCATGACCACCACCGTTTTGGCACAATACGCCCTTTTCAACTCACGACCTTGAAATACCAACACCTTTGATTGTGAAGGTCATATTGAATTAAAATGGTAGCGTTTGCCCCCTCCACGGAAAAGTGTGGCTGGTCCTGACTCATTCAAATGAATTCGACTGGCAGTGAACACTCAGTACTACCTCCGTCACTACAACTCGGTGGTTGGGGGGGGGGGTATTTCACCAACACCACCGTCATCAACTTTATGAACCACGCCCTCGACCGCCATCACGATCAATACACTGGTCATCCAAGACCATAACTTTAACTATCTATCCCCTATGATACAGTTGTCCCTGGGCCGCGTCCGGCCTGGCGAACAATCATATCCGTCCCGCGATAGAATAGAATTTAAGTATCCGTCCTTAGAAGCTGCACGACACAGAACCTTACTCCGAAATTAGTTGCCAAGGAAAGATACCCAAAAAATCCAGCTCTGCATCATTAGCATAAGAGCAAAAAGTTGATATGTTTTGATGCGTTATTATTTCAACTTCTGTCTGTTTTAATTCGTTTTATTGTTTTTTTTTATAAAACGTTTGATTTCGTGGCTGTTTATCCAGTTCGGCCCCAACTTGAAGGGTAGTTTCCGTTTGCCCCCCCCCCCCCCCCCAAAAAAAAAGAATCCGTGCGATTGAGTTTGACACCCCTTCTCTAAGAGGAGATCAGTTTCTTCCACCTCCTCCGGGTGTCCCCCATCATGACCCCCACACAAACAGGTTATATTTAGTACTAGAGTTCGTGGCAGTGATGTCCCCCACGTAAACAAACGATGTCTGCGTGTATCCACTCTGAGACGCAGAACCTCAAGGGCGCAGTTCAGCAGACGGGTGAGTGCTTTTCGAGACTTACGTGGAGGCGTCTCGGCGGTCTTAGGAGGAAATCTACAAGCTTCCACTGAAATATGGGGGCAGGGTGGTGTTAAACATACTAGAACTCGTGGGGAGCGGGAGGGGGGGGGCGACGTGTTCATGTAAATGGGGGCACGCCGGCCATGTCCATGAGGGTAAGAAGGCCCCCATGCCTGACACATGTTAATCAAGTTATTATATATAACATCTTTGCCCCTATCTAAACTGTCCCGTCTGCCTGATGATCAGCCTCTTCCACCTCCTCCCTGTGCTGCCGAATAGCGGCAACGGTGCTGTCCATCATCTGGGCAACCTTCACCCAGGGAGGGGGCAAGGGCGCTCTCAGTATCTTGTCGGTGTCCACTGGCATCGGGATGTCGCGGATCCTGCAAAAGGGCAAGTAACCAATTCAAAAAGACAGCCAGTCATGATAAATGTTATTATGGTGGACAGGCAATGCGAATGTATGGGGCAGACGAAAAGTTCCATCGTCAATCTTCGACACTTGCATCCACTCTATGTGCAACAGTGCACTGTTGTTGGCACAATCGTGTTCACATACGTGTAAGCTTTTCTTGGTGTTTACAAGAATGAAAAATATACAATAAGGACTGATGTCCGCGAATACAATTTGAGCAATCGACAAGATCCAACTTACAAAAATATATTATGTCTTCTTATGTCTGAAATAGTACATCACAGGAGTAGGCTTCTATTGTCAATAGTATATCATAGGTTTAGCCTTTACTGACAACAGTATATCACAGGTTTAGTTCCACTGACAACAGTATATCACAGGTTTAGCTTCTACTGGCAAAAGTAGCCTTCATCACAGGAGTATCTACTAATGACAACAGTATTTGATAGGTATATTTTGGCAGCAACATATCAAGAGAGCAGAAATTGTCTTCAAACTTACATTTCTCAGGTCATTGTATCAAGGTTCAAATGATAGCGAGTACTAACTTTGTAAATCCTGTTTCGCTGTATCGCAGACTAATTGGTTCCTTTTTCTCAGTGGCAAACAGTACGTCCATTTTGCCGAATGCGTCGTCTAACAGATGATACATACAGGATTGCAAGCGGCCATAATACTGGTCTTGGAACCTTAGAGAACAAAGTTTTTTCATTTGATATATGCAGCAGCTGACTGGAATAAAAACAATATTGAAGTCGGGGTCGACTTTTTGCAATCAAACAAAGTGTTGTACACACAATATACGGACTATTAACAGTACAGACAATGCTCGAATAAAAAAAATGCGAGTATCTGTAAGTCACTGGCAATGCGTTTGACACTTAATCTGTGTTCATTGGGAGAGGAAAGTAGTTGATATCGTTCAGTTTGTTCATTTTGAATTTTAGGATTTAAGTTTGTAAAAGACGAGGGGAGGGGGGAAGGAGTGAGGAGAGAGAGAGTGGGGGGGGGGGGGAGAGACATAGAGAAAGAGAGAGGAACAGGGAGAGGGAGGAAATGAGGAAGGAAGAAAGAGAATGTGATGATGGAATCAAACGTAAAGGCAAGTGTTAAAGGACTGTAGGTCGTGACAACGAAGTCTTTTCTGTTGGGTTTAAAACTGTAACTACTACTACTACTACTACTACTACTACTACTACTACTACTACTACTACTACTATGTCCTACTATTACCATCATTAGTATATAGACCCTATCTTAATTATTGTTGATACTATGTCTTCTAATACCAGCTCTATTGCGGTGTTCACACATACAGGAGTAGAGTAGAACGAGCAATTCCCGATAAGATATTGTCAAATTCAGGTTTAATCGTGACGAGCATCTGGCCATGACTGTTGGCGTTATAATGTCGGCAAGCACTCAGGGAGACGCTCGCCGTGCAATAATTTAGGACGGTGAGCATATCGTAGAGCGTCTCGCCGAGCGTCTTGCTGAGCAATTAGTTTGAATCCTGGCCACTTGCAAAGCCAAGAAACGTAGCGGCCGAGTAAAATTTCACACGCCGACAAAGTCGACGACCATGCTGACCATCTCGCCGACCCGTCGCTGAGTTAGTCGGTGTGCAATGTTGTAATATATAAAGAGGGGGCAAAATGTTTGTGTTCATTCCTTCAACATGTCTCGTATGACACAGATGATGGATGTATACTTCATGTATAAATAATAATGGTGCCCTTGCTGTTGTGCTGGTGCAAGAAGAGGAGGAGGACCAGTTGGGTTAGACCACGGCTCATAAGAGCTCAGGACAGTTTGAGAAGCTGATGGCTGAACTGCAAGTTGAAGATGCGGCATCCCTCAGGAACCTCCTCCGAGCTTCTCCAGAGTTTTTTCCAAGAAATACAGAAAAAATTGGCCCCACCATCCACAAGGCGAACACTTTCTGGAGGCAGTCACAGAAACATGACATCAAGCTGGTTGTCAGTTTTCGATACCTGGCAACAGGAAATATTTACAAGCTCGTCGTGTCAACTTTTGCACGCTGTGCTTGAGTAACTCAGACTCCCCGTGCAAGATGTTTACACAGCGAGAAATAATTTAACCCGCAAAGTATGAAATTTAACACAGCTACCATTCAGATCTCGTCGGCGTGTCATTGTCACTCGGCAACATATTATGCATCTTTGCAAGCCGAGCTATTGCTGATACTCCCGGAGTCAGTACTCCCCGAGTTTTCCCCAAGCGAGTTATTGAGTCGGCGACTCATTTTTCGCTCGGCAAAAATTTTAATCATGTTTGAAAATTTCGGCAAGCTTCCCGTGTAATAATTTCACACGTCGAGCATGAAATATCACTCGGGGAGGGAGGCCGATTGCTCGGTGAAATGTATCCAGAGTAGACCCGACTTGCAGGACTAAGCAATTTTGTCTTACTCGGCTTTGTTACTCCTGTATGTGTGAATACCGCATAAAACGTAAAAAGATGCAAAAAAATCGTGACTGTTCTTCTTCACCTCACGGGATCCAAAGCATGTCGTGGCTGTATGGACAAGCAGTCTGTCGGGGCCGGGGTCTCTCTGTGGGGTTTTAGTGGGGAGGTTAATCAATGGGAAGCACACTTATTTGACTGGTGGTTACGATTGTATGGCCGATCGGAAAGTTGTCTATGTTGTGTGCATTTACGAAACGAAAATGGTCTTTCATAAATAGTAACTTTGACAAGATATAGTTCCTCATAAATTGGTTCTCAGACCTGAACATCAACGGGACCAAATAAAAGAAAATTGTTATGGCAAAATGGCAAAAAATAAACCAAAAAAGGGAAATTAATTACTAATAAATTAGCTACGTCGAAAAACGCTTTTTCGGGCATTTCTCAAAAATACTTCATGCCCCCCATAGATGGTATCATTACTTTTATTGAAGCTAAAATTCCTTACCCAATTTTCCCATTCAAAATGTACAAGATTCATAGTTCAGCTTTACTAGGTCAAGCCCCAGGCGATCAGTTAACCAGAGTTGCCATGAAACGGTGTTGTTTGTTGAAGTCCATTTTCACTCACAGAGTCCCTGTCCCAGTTGTCTAGTCTGTGCTAGAAACATTGGTCCGCACAAAATAATTTAGTGAGTTCCCATAGTGGAAATATTACAAATCAGATGGCCGTTCCTCCCTCCGTGCTGGATAGTTGGCCTGGCATGTCAACTTACGCTTCACCCATTTCTCCATCTGGGTCTATCTCGGCGTCCCCTTCCGGAACGTCCGACTGCCGTGAGGTTGCTGGGGCCTCCTTTCCGGTCGCTGGTTTTGGTGCAGCTTCTGCTTTAGTCTGGGCTTTAGGTTTTGTGGCTACGTCCTCAGTAACTGTTTCTACAAAAGACGGAAAATAAAGAAATTAAATCAAATCCTAGACAGGAAGCATTACAGCTTTTGACGAATAATATAAAGTACAGTGATATGGTAACACTTTTCTCATACCCACAGAACGTAGCCTTTTGATGAATACGCAATATTATATTATCAGTAGGTTTTGCTTTATCATTTTGTTTAAACTTCTATTTGCTTCTAGATTAACTCCTCACTAAATCTAAATTCTGACGATGGGGCAGGGCTTAAATCACCAAGATTTGTTTTTATTTGTTTAGTTTCCATCTCTAAATAGGTATTTCAAAGACAGGCATTGTATTTCTTCATCACACATCAGGGCACTGAATTAAAAAGGAAAATTTCATGAATGTTTAAGAATGGTCAAAGTCTCTCAGTTACTGTGTGCCTTTTAGACTTAGACAGCTGCCATCCACCAATGCCCCGTCCCTTCGTCAAATCCCAGTTCCCATTCTAACAAACACACACACACACACACACACACACACACACACACACACACACACTCGTACATCACAGAGAGACAGACATTCATGTTAATACTGAACGCTTGATTTATAGAGGATGGACCTATCCAACGGCCTTTTCTATACGACTCAGGGTGGGTTTTTTTAACAAACAAAAATAAAACCCCAAAACCATCCTTGAGTTGTTAAAAAAACTTAAAATTAAAGATTCGAACTTTGGTCATCTGGCACACAGTATTTCAAAGGTATTGTAACCAAGCTAACAGCGTACCAACAAAAGTACATGTACTCCTGTTGTACTCGTATCATTTACAGTGCGGTCACAAACCGGAAATAAAGCTTTCATTTGACTCTGCAGCCATGGCGGCCAGTCTTGCTTCTTCCGCTTCTGCTTCCTCCTGCTGTCGTTTGCTGATGGCCTCTGCGGTACAGCAAGCTCTCTGGGACAGAAGGAAAGCAAGATTACCATATGGGCCATTATTAAGAATATCAGTACAATTTCGAAAACATTTCCTTTTCAACCTTTAGTTTTGCTTTTTTGCTAAATTCGGCATGTCTCTTGGGTAGCTTTTTTCCCTTTATGTTGAATTCACGTTATATTATGGTACCGAGCATATTGATACGCTTTGTTTACAGTGGATAAGCGGGTATATATAAGGGGAAAGGGGGGAGGTGCTATAGCTTTTAAAATCTTTTTTTCTATGTTTTAGGCTTTTAATCGTTGCTTTGAGAACTGTTGGAACAGAATCCCAGAAATTTTTGCGATCTATGTTTTTCAAAGTATTTTACAGCTGTGAATGCCATCGTAATACATGTATTATGTCACATTGTAGAGTCAAACTAAAAATATTTATATATGACACATTGTTTGAATTTATCATTCTACTTTATTTCTTTTGTAGGCGTACAGTACTGCTTGGTCCACAGTCTATTTTACATCCTACATTAAATTAATTGTTAATTGTAATGGACGTGTAGACAGTAGAATATGCAAACACTGAAAATCACTTCACAATTGTTTCTGTTGCGCTTTTGCGTCAGTGCCTCTTTTGGTTCAAACAGCACATTGACAACAACATCAACAATAACAACAACAACAACGACAACAACAACTAAAGATAAACAAGAAGTGAGTGAACAGGAAATAAAGACATTTATCTCTTTCTCTTTTTCTTTGGCGTGGGTATACGAGTTTAGCACTTGTATTTCTTGAGAAAATGGTTCGTTAAGAGATGAGAATTATGTTGTCTGTATTTTCCCATTTTCCCAAAACCGGACCTTCGGTCAGCAGACTGTCGCGAAACAGAGCTAAGCCAATAAATAATGTTCGCTGGAAATATGCCAACACACACTAGTGTGATTTCAGCTGATGAATGCCTCAGTCGACTTTCAGCTTGGTTTGTGAGGTAACTGGCTATATGTATCGCGAGTCTGCCCAGGGTGGGGTAGAAGGGTGTCCACTTTGTAGCCTTCGCCATGACATGGCAATAATTTTACCTTCGCCTAGGTCCTATCAAGGCTTACAATCTATCTTTCCTGGCCCCTCCTTTTTCTCCTCAAAGCCCGTAAGCTCAACGTCAACACCCACCTGAAGTGAAACTGCAAAATCAGAGAAGTTATCGACGGCTTGAACCAGCAAAGTGAAGCAAACTGTTCTTTTCCAGTCTTCTTTTGCATCAAAGTTTCTGAAGACCAAAAAAGTGATATCTGCTACAAAGGCATTAATATTTCACGGAACACTGCTTCTTTCTGGGTTTTCATAATTAAACATAAAGCATTAATTATACAAACACGACAAATGATCTCTTTTAAGCACAAGGGGGGCTATCCCGAAGAATGCTGCTTTGAGAAACTCAAAGGTAAAGTTTTTGGGTCCTTATTCAGCTTCTTTAAAAGACAAGGAGAGTTTTCTCTATAACCAAACAAATATAGACACCAATGAAACCAAACTTTTCCTTCAGGTAGGGCAATGCCCGCTTTTGGTGCAGGTCTAGATTTCTGGAAACCCCCGCTTGTCCTTAAAAACGACCGAATGATAAGTACCTCCGCCATTCATACCAAGGCGGCTATGCTAAGGTTTTTTCGATCGGGTGTCTTTGGGCCAACTTTGAACAAGAAGCGATAAACACAGATCTACATTTTAAAAAAACCGGGCGCGCACTATGATGACAAGCGATAGCAATTTTGAATTGCTGTCTATGTCTGTGTGATAATGTGTACTTGTGTTGCTTTTATGTAATCTCAATCTTTTTAATGAGTACTTTGTAAATGATATTGTAATCCGAAAATCCATAAACTGATTTTTGAACATTGGTAATCACACATTTATTCTCTATTTGTTCTATCCCTTAATTATAGTATCTTCTTTACTACTTCAAACACACACACATACAGTACAGAGAGAGAAAGAGAGAGAGAGGGGGGGCGGAGAGAGAGAGAGAGAGAGAGAGAGAGAGAGAGAGAGAGAGAAACACTATTATGCAAACACAAACATGCACATACACGTACTCAATCACACACACATACACACACACAAACATGCATACACATACACACAGATACACACACCCACAAGTGCAAACGAGATGGCATCAATAAATACTGCATCTCTCTCTCTCTCTCTCTCTCTCTCTCTCTCTCTCTCTCTCTCTCTCTCTCTCTCTCTCTCTCTCTCTCTCTCTCTCTATCAATTCTCGGCAACTCACAGTCCCTTGCTTAATGTTCTACTAACCGGAAATAAAGCTTATCCACCTCGGTTGCCATGACGCTGAACAACGCTTCCTGGATTTCACAGCTTTCGTCGTCTTGCAGAATATCCTCCCTCATGTTATTTACATCAAAATCCGGGTTTACCAAATTGATTGGAGCCTTGGGTATCTTCCGTGTCGGCTTCTCGGAAGCTTGTGGGTCTTCGTCTCCATCTCCTTCTGCCTCGCTGTTAGTGCTGCTGACGCTTTCAGGTACGTGCTTAGAGAGGAATTACAATCCTTACGTGCAAGCATTATGTACAACAATAAGTTATCAAATTATTATAGATCTAATGTGATGTTGAATTCTCAATTGAGAATTCGATTCCGGGGTTCGCCGGGTAGGGTGATGTACCCTTAGGAAAGCTGCTCCACACTTTTCTCCTTTGTTAATCACACTGTAAAAAGACACTTGGAAACGCTAGACATTAAATTTATGTGAATGATATTGATGAGTTCTTATGAGACTGAAACAGTATTCGTTCTCCTAACAACTTGGATGATGAAGGGTAGACCCACACCGGCGTCGGGCCCGACGGTCAGACCGGACCGTTTTCCAACACAAAAGAATGAACGCCGGCAGAACAGTAAGGACAGGGAATAAAAAACGACAACCCGCCCACACCAAAACCCGACGTCCCGGACCAGACGGTTTAGGAATGAACTTGTTCATTCCACGCCGTCCGTCGGGCGAAAGGGGGGCAATTTTCGTAGACCTTGCCTCTGTAAATTCTGTCCCCTTTCCCGCCACGGTCTGTTGGTTTTTGTCTTGAGAGTGGGCGCTCGCCGCGATGATAACAGACGATATAACATGAGAATGAGAGCAGGAAAGGAGGCAAAAGGAGAAAATTTTAAAGCAGATCATTTTCCATCGCTGTTGGGGACCTGTTGAATGAGAGGCAAACAACGTAACCCCTAGACCACGAGAGCCCCCCCCCCCCCCTTTTTTTTTCCTAACCACAACAAGAATAACAACTTTCTCCTCTTGCTACACTCAATTTTCTACTATTAGTACAATTAAACTGATGTTGTCTGACCGTCGGGTACCGGTGGCGGTATGGGCGCCATAGCCGGCAGAAAATCGTCGGGTCTGGTCTGACCATCGGGCCCGACGCCGGTGTGGGTCTAGCCTAATCCAAATAAAATGGGTAGCGAAACGAATTATCGTGAGGCCGTGTGAGCATTTCATCTGTGGATATAAATAGTTACGTTACCTAATAATACAGTACACCTTTCATACTGTGTTCAGACTGTGCCCTAATAATGATAACCCTGAGATCAAAGTATGTTTTAAAATAAATGGACACAGTTGTGCTGGACACATGACCAAATAGAAATCATCGTAATTTTTGTTTTCTTCATTACCGATGTATCGCCGTTGTCCAGGCATTGAAGAAAAAAATTAACACCTCATCATAGAAAGGAGATCTCCTTCGTCGGATTAAAGTCCTAAAGGAAAATGAAAGAGTATTTTAAAATTGAATAGTTCTTTTTATTTTTTATTTTTTTTTGTGGGGAGAAGTATTTTATGGCGCTCGCAACTGCATATGGTCGTATGAGCGCGCGGGACACACCAAACATTTTCAGTCGGTAGAAAATTTTGAATTTTGCCCTGGTGGCGGCCGAAGCCTACTTTTATTGATTTTGGACAACCAAGGGATCTTTAACATGAGCAACTTATACATGAGACCTCCGAGATTTTTCGCCCTTGTCCGAGAAGGCTAGGTGTAGATCTTTCCTACCAGAAGATCAGGGGTTTGGCTGAAAGACAGCAGTAAGAGGGAGCCAAGGAGAAGCTGTAAAAAGGTTTCAAAAAGGAGAGGAGGCAAAGGAGGTGAGGAGGTGGAGGTAGAAAGTCGAGACGAAAGCAGACGACAGAATATTGCAAGAGAGAAGGAAAAAAGGTGAAAAGAGACAGTTTTAGAAAAGAAAATGTTTCCGTCGCTACCCGGATTCGAACCAGAGACCTTTGAATGAGAAGCGAACGCCTTAACATCGAGGCCACCAATTTCTAAATTGACCCAAAAAATGTAGCGCTTCTATGTGCAACTTTAAAAGATCAAACAATGATTTTATTTAGACCGAGGTTGTATCGAGAGCCGTATTGTCATCAACAGCAACAACAACGTGACACTGTGACTAGAATGCCGTCGAACAACCACATCCGGAACATGGTGTCTGAATTCCACACTGCCCTGATGGACGCCGGTACCCGTATTGTCGGCACTGTGAAACCAGGCAGGCACACAAAGACATGGGAAACCCCCACAGTTCGAAGAGCAATCCGGAGGCGAAATAGACTCTGGAAAGAGGTGCGAACCCGCCGCGAAGAATGGCTAGAGGCGTGCCACGTGGCGCAGGAGACGATCAACGATGCTAAGACCGACGCCTGGCGAAAACTGCTCGAGAAAACCACCAACTCACAGGACGACACCAAGATGTGGAAAATCATAAAAAGCCTCAACGGTACCCCTGAGACAAACTCGCCAAATGAAGCAATGTCACACAATGGGCGATTGGTGACATCAAGCAAGCATAAGGCGGACATATTCGCAGACCACTACGCGAACGTCTGCAGTCTAAACATGTCGAAAGAAGACAGAGCCGAAAACTGGCAACTCAAACAGCGACTGAAATACTTACGGAACAACCCAAGGGCAGACCAGCCCGATTTCACTATCGGGGAACTGAGGAATGCCATTGCAAAGATGAAGTCCCGCGGATCACCCGGACCAGACAACATCCCCCCGTCCTTCCTCAAAAACCTGGGTCCCAAGGCGCTGAAGAAACTGCTCTCCATCTTCAACTTGTCATTTCGCTCAGCTGATGTCCCACAAGTCTGGAAAGACGCCATCATTGTCCCCCTCCTCAAGACCGCCAAACCAGCATCGGAACTAACGTCGTTTAGACCGATAAGCCTCACATCCTGTGTCATCAAAGTTATGGAGAGAATGGTATCTGAACGACTGTACGACATGGCCGAGCGGAACGGCTGGTTTTCCGAACTGCAGGCTGGTTTCAGGAAGGGGAGATGTGTGGAAGACCAAATTCTGAGAATTACGCAGAAGATTTCCGATGGCTTCCAAAAGAAGGAAAAATCGGTACTCGTCCTCCTCGATTTTTCAAAGGCATACGACACGGTCTGGCGAGAACGCCTACTCCTCACCCTCCTGGACAGAGGTATCCCAGATACATACGTTTTATGGCTGAATGACTTCCTTCAAAATCGTCAAGCCAGGGTCCGATTCAATGGAATACTGAGTAATAGCAGGAAAATGAACCAAGGTCTCCCACAAGGTTCGGTCCTGGCACCCATCCTCTTCCTTTTTTATATCGACGAACTGGCGAAACTACTTCCGGACGATCTCACAATTTCACTCTACGCTGACGACGTCTCTATCCTCGCTTCATCACGCACGACACGAGACGCCGAAAGTCTGGCACAAAGAGCGGTGGACATCGTTGCTGACTGGAGCAGGCGATGGAAACTCACGCTAAACGGCTCAAAGAGCGAGACAACATTCTTCACGCTCGCAACATCTGACTCGGAATGGAAGCCGTGCATCACGATAAATAATTCGTCAATTAGGTATGAGCCCTACGCAAGACTCCTGGGAGTCACACTCGACCGCAGGCTCACGTTCAGGAAACAGGTTGAGACAGTAGTAGCTAAGGCCACACAGAAGATGAGGATGCTCGGCGCTGTAGCGCACTCAAAATGGGGATGGAGGAAAGACGACCTACGCAAGGTCTACCTCACTCATATACAAAGTGTTCTCAACTTTGCGAGCAGCAGCTGGCAACCGTGGCTGAACAAAACTCTGATAAATAATCTGGAGGTGATTCAAAACAGATGTCTGCGACTGATTACCACCCAAGCCCAGTCCTCACCGATCGAGGCACTTCGAGCTGAAACGGGGGTCCCAAGCATTCAGTCCACCATAAATGCTAACTGTCTCCGATCAAGAGAGAAGGCCCTCCGATTGAACAACGACCACCCTCGACGAATTGCGGCAACGGAACAAGTGCACAGACGCCTAAAAGGACGCAGGGATTTCCGAAAAAGGGCCGAAGACGTCAGCAAAAAGAGCCCACATCTGTTCGACTGCGAGAGAAGGCCCATCACTTACTTCGAAACCAGGCCCTGGGAACGTGGAATCAACCCCGACATCACTTTTCCCCACCGGTACGGCATAAGCGGAAGGAGTGACTCCAGTGGGAAGATTCAAAGCGCTGCTGTTCGTCGAGCACGAGAGCTTGGCGCACAGTACAATATCTACACTGACGGCTCGGCTAGGGCAGAAACAACGGACGGCGGCGCTGGAGTCGTCATCACAACGGGGAACCCGTCCAACCCTACCGTTGTCGAGACATTGAGGGAGAAAGGCGCCATATTTACGTGCTCTTTCGAGGAAGAAAGGAGAGCCTTGGAAATGGCCATTGACTGGATTGACAAAGAGTGCGATGCATCCAACTCGGTCGCTATCTTCACCGACAGTCAATCACTATGCATGGCACTAGTGGGAACATCACCATCCTTCGACCAATTGCGACTACGCATAAATAATGCAATACCTCAACCCACGATTCAGTGGATCCCTGGTCACCGCGATATCCTCGGCAACGATCTCGCTGACAGTAATGCCAAACTGGCAACAGCGCTGCCGGGTCCAGGCCGCCAAATTACTTATGACAGTGTGTGCGCCCAGATAAAACTAATTACAAAAGACCCCCCTATATGCCACACGCGGACGAAGGAAGTATACAGGGCATTTTCCTTAAAACGAGAGGCTCTTATTATGTCCCGCAGTGACCAGTCATTACTGGCAAAAATCAGGACCGGTCATTTCTCTGGGCTTCGGGCCTACAAAAATAGAATAGACAAAACATCGGATCCAATATGTCCATTGTGCAGCGAGGAGCCCCAAGATTTGGAGCACTGGCTGCAGAGATGCCCCGCCACGGAGGCCCGGCGGTGGCATCTCTTCGGGGAGGATCCAGGGAGGTTGGACTGCCTCACCCGCTACCCAAGGGAGGCGGTGGCCCTGGCGAAGAGCACACTCTTCGGGGCTCCGAACATTTCGAACGGATAGGCTACCACACACACACACACAGCAACAACACCAGAGAATGGTATCTGAACGACTGTACGACATAGCCGAGCGGAACGACTGGTTCTCCGAACTGCAGGCTGGTTTCAGGAGGGGAAGAGGTGTGAAAGACCAAAATGAGATTTACGCAAAAGATTTCCGATGGCTTCCAAAAGAAGGAAAAATCGGTACTCGTCCTCCTCGGTTTTTCAAAGGCATACGACACGGTCTGGCGCGACCGCCTATTTCACACCCTCCTAGACAGAGGTTTCCCAGATAAATACGTTTTGTGGCTGAATGACTTCCTTCAAAATCGTCAAGACCACCGATTCAACGGAATACTGAGTAAAAACAGGAAAATGAGCCAAGGCCTCCCACAGGCACCCATCCTCTTCCTCTTTTATATCGACGAACTGGAGAAACTACTTCCGGATGATCTCACAATTTCACTCTACGACGTCTCTATCCTCGCTTCATACTCACGGCACGAGACGCCGAAAGTCTGGCACAAAAAGCGGTAGACACTGTTGCTGACTGAAGTAGGCGATGGAAACTCACGTAGAACGGCTCGAAGAGCGAGACTACATTCTTCACGCTCGCAACATCTGATGCGGAATGGAAGCCATGCATCACGACAATTTGACAATTAAGTACGAGCCCTACGCAAGACTCATGGGGGTCAAACTCGACCGCAGGCTCATGTTCAGCAAACTGGTTGAGACAGTAATAGCTAAGGCCACACAGAAGATGAGAATGCTCGGCGCTGTCGCCCACTCAAAATGGAGATGGCGGAAAGACGACCTAAGCAAGGTCTACCTCAACCATATACAAAGTGTCCTCAACTTTAGGAGCAGCAGCTGGCAACCGTGGCTGAGCAAAGCTCTGATACATAATCTGGAAGTGGTTCAAAACAGATGTCTGCCACTGATCACCCCTCAAGCCCAGTCCTCACCGATCTAGGCACTTCGAGCTGAAACAGGGGTCCGAAGCATTGAGCCCACCATCAATGCTAACTTCCTCCGATCAAAAGAGAAGGTCTTGCGAATGAACAACGGCCACCCCCGACGACACCACAACCGAACAAGTGCACAGACTTCTAAAGGGACGCAGAGATTTCCGAAAAAGGGCCGAAAACGCCAGCTAAAAGAGCCCACATCAGTTCAACTGCGAGAGGAGGCCCATTGCTTATTTCGAAACCAGGCCTTGGGAACGGGGAATCAACCCCGACATCGTTATCCCCCACCTGTACGGCCTAAGCGGAAGGAGTGACCCCAGTGTGAAGATCCGAAGCGCTGCTCTTGATCGAGCACGAGAGCTTGGCGCACAGTACAATATCTACACTGACGGCACCGCGAGTGCAGGAACAACGGCTGGCGGCGCTGGGGTCGTCATCACAACGGGGGACCTGTCCAACCGGACGGTTGTCGAGACACTGAGGGAGAGGCACCATATTCACGTGCTCTTTCGAAGAAGAGAGAAGAGCCTTGGAAATTGACTGGATCGACAAACAGTGTGATGCATCCAACTCGGTCGCTATCTTCACTGACAGTCAATCGCTATGCATGAGATTGGTGGGAACATCCCCATCCCTTGACCAAATGCGACTACGCATGAATAATGCAACATCCCAATCCACCATTCAGTGGATCCCTGGTCACTGCGATATCCTTAGCAACGATCTTGCTGACAGTAATGCCAAACTGGATGGACCACGACGCCAAATTGCATATGAAAATGCGTGCACCCAGATAAAACTGATCACAAAAGACCCACCGATATCCCATACGTGGACGAATGAAATATACTGGGCAATTTCCTTAAAACGAGAGGCTCAAATTAAGTCCCGCAGTGACCAGTCACTACTGGCAAAAATCAGGATAGGTCACTTCTCTGGGCAGCAGGCCTACAAAAATAAATTAGACAAAACGTCGGACCCAATCTGTCCATTGTACTGCGAGGAGCCCCAAGATTTGGAACACTAGCTGCACAGATGCCCCACCACGGAGGTCCGGCGGTGGCATCTCTTTGGGGAGGATTCAGGATGGTTGGACTGCCTCACCCGCTATCCACGAGAGGCGATGGCCCTGGCAAAGAGCACGCTCTTCGGGGCTCCAAACGTTTCGAACGGATAGGCTACAACACACACACACATACAC